TGGAACAAGGCTACAGGTGTATGCGTGTGTGGGAAATTGGCTATTATTGGGAAAGCAATTGTTCCTTTTTCTTTTTTTCTTCTCATTTCTTTTTTTTTTTTCTTTACCGACCGATCAATCCGTCCGTCCGTGTGTTTCAAAAGATAGATTACCATACTTTTCTGAATCGAGTCTGGCTTCAACCAAGCCGTGTTGCTATGCAATGCCACTATTCTCCATCTAGAAGTTCGTCGAGTTCGAATCGAGCCGAGGCCAGGTCAGGTCAGGTCTCAGGCCCGCCAGCGACCCAAAAAGTTACTTTGTCGGCAACTCCACCCATCCCGAAATCCCCGCGCATGTCTCCGGTCCCAAAGTGGGTAACTGCCAACCCAGACCGTGGACGGGGAGGCTTTCGCCTCCCGCCGATGGTCGTGCCTGCTGATTGGTCGGCTCGTATGGCAACCCTGGGGCAGCAGTGGATTTGAACCTAAGGGGGGTTGCGCTTGGCCCCTTGACACTAAAACCAGTAGGCCCAGTTTTAGTGGCCTAAACTTACTGTTTACTTGAAATGGGTCAATTAATTCGTTTTCCACCGGATCCAAACAAGCGTGATTTCACATCCACTGTTGTTAGCTACTAGCTATGTTAGTGTACCCTTGGCTCAATCAGGTAGATTAGTAAGTACGTACGTAGTTCAGGCAGTCGAGTCGAGTCGGGGTATGAGACGATCCCGACGGTGTTTTTTGATTCCCGTGTCCGTTTGTGCATACACGGTGCTGCTCTATCTACCTGTTTTAACTTAAATGATGATGAAAAAGAAAAGAAAACACACACGGGCTTCTTCTTCAGTCAAAGTTAGTTTACATCCCTCGGCAATTGAATAACTCAAATATGCACAGTAAGTTTAAATAAGTAAATCGAATTGGGGATGTATGCCTCGGCACTAGAAACTCAATCAATTCAAATCACACCGTTTTGGGGGCCGAAGTACCTAAGTGACTACTTGATTTTTAGTCACGGGTTTGCGAGATTTGTTCATCGTGCATACCATACATACTACTACTTACAAACAGTTAGTTAGTTAACTTAAGAGCATACACAGCCTTGGGGCCATTTCGCAATATAGTTACCTAGATGGGTAGTTAACCTATACCCTAGCTAACTAGCCAATCTACTATGAACCTGCGTATCGAGTTAAATCGCAAGGCGCTCTCTTTTTGCTCTACGGAGTAGTATCTTGCTCTGTTTGCACTCTGTTCATTGTTCGGGCCCGCGGGCCCCATCCATCCATACTTAGTAGTTGAACTAACTGCTCTAAACGAAGGATTAAAAATTCCCGGCGATACGCCGCCTGTCTCAAACCACTTATTTACTACTAGACCAACACTAACTAAATCAGGGACCATGGTCTGGCTACCTAGACTGGTCCCCAGCTAGATAAGTTGACTGGGTCTCTGTCTTACTTATGGACACTTCTTTTTGGCTTTCCAGAAAGGCACTACTATTGCTTACTCTATCTCTTCCATGAAAGGGAAAGTAAGCATTCTAGATGGTAACTATGGAGGAAAACGCAAGAGAGAGAGAAAGAAGAAGGGTATGAGGTAAGTTAGGTTGAACAAACAAGCATTAAACGAGTGAAACCCAAACCCCAACCCAGACACCCCCAGAACCAAACCGGAGTTATCCGCTCGGATCTCGGACTTAGGAATTAGGAGATAGTATACGTCCTACGTAGGATCTTGTTTTCTTGTGTTACGAGACGTTGCTTGCTATGTGCTGGGTAGGTTCCAGGCGTCTACTCTCTGCCCCTCCTCTCCTCTCCCTTGTTTGTCCGTCTGTCTGTTTTGAGGTCAGTGTTGATTCGGCTGGTAGAAAGTTGGGTTAACTAATTTATTAGCTCACGAAGTACGCGAGAACGAGTCGGTAAGTAATTACTTACTAACCTAAGGGAAGGAAGAGAGAGTAGTAACTAACTACCTAAATACGATGATTGGGTCCGCTAGGGAATGAGAGTGTGAGTGTGCACTGCATCCCCTTCCCCCCAAAACGCCAGGGCCAGAACCCTGTCCCTGCGACAACGCGGCGTGCCCGTCGAACCCGCTTCCGGCCAACCCGCTGTCTTTCTTTTTAACTTTTTTCCCTTTTGGTAGGTGAGGTGCCGCTGTGCCCCGTCAATCAGTCGCCAACTATGGAGTACGGAGTACTCCATACCTTAACTAACTACTAAAGTGATGTACGAACGACGGGCGGGAAGGGGAAGGGAAGGGAAGGGAAGTTTGGAAAAAAAAAAAAAGGCTGGAATGTGGAAATATGGGCGGGAGATCGATGCTGGGCCCGACCGGCGCGTCGCTCTCCCTTCCTTAGTTGGTTAGTACATGAGTGAAATAAATAATAAGATAAAATTGTTCCCTTTTCGTTTCTAAGAATGTACTTCGTACTTAGTGGGGCTCTGCTTTATGCTGCTGTCTCGCTCGCAAAAAACGGCAGCAGGAAGAAGATCGAGAAGGGAAGGGAGAGAGAAAGTTACGAACATGTGTGCTGCTGCTGCTGCTGCTGCTGCGCCTCCACAGCTCCCGGCATGACGTGGTACTTGTCCTACAGGGTTGTAAGTAGTGTGCTTCGATGACTGGTTCTGAGATGTCTCTCGAGTCTAGAGAATTTGGACTTGACCCGCTTGCTGGTGTCTGTGTCTTTGTCTTTGTCTTGATTTTAGTTAGTTACTATTTACTGCATATGGAGCTTGGATCGTGTGGGTGAGTACCTTTGGAGAACAATGAGGTGACACTAATACGTACTGGCATCTCGATTACTACTTAGAGATAGATAGATCCTAGCTCAGATTATCAATCAATTCTGAGTACTTTACTAATCAACCATTAGCTAACTAGTTAGTTATACATCTGACAGTATGTAAGTACTTTGATCATTTAAGCCTTCAATGTACTCCGTAGCGGCCCGTCCATCTACCTACACCCTACACGGGGGGACAGGTTATACTTTGTACCAAGATATCTGATTTCCTTGGCTTCTGCAGGGTTACTAGTAGGTTATACACCATTTTGCTCCGAATAACGAATCTCTCTTTGCACCTCTGAGAAAGAAATAATGAAAATAAATATTTCAGTAGCCTTGCTGCTACTACTACCAGCAAGTATCCAATACCTACATACTACATACATACTTCTTGCATCGGACAACCCCGATGCAAATCAATCACTTTTATAGCTAGCTGTCTGTCAATCAATCAGTCTCTGTCAAATTCAAACCCCTAGCGTTAAGCATCGTACCTACCAGATTCAGTTCTTATTTGCCATGCAAGTCAGTACTTACTTACTGTCCACATGATGTGCTCACCTTAAGGGTTAAGATGCGGCTGGCTGGCTGGCCGGTAATTGCCCGGAAGTAAAGCTGTATGGTCGAATCCCCTCCATTCTTTGTTTGTATACTACAGACATACATACGGGTGGCGATAGCAGAAAACCAGAAAAGAAAAGTTAAAAAAAAGAAATAAAATGAATGCAACGCTGAGTTATGCAACAGTTACAGCCGCAGAAAAATCCAAAATCAAATCTAAATGTAAATGTAGATGTACGTTTGCTCCGCTGCACGCCTTAGGTAGAATTAGAACTAGAACCAGACCATGCCCGACAGACAGACAGACAGACAGCGTGGCAGACGTTAGATGCATAGAAAGATAGATGGATAGATAGGATAGTAGTATATTAATTGAACAAGGCTCAAATATACGAGTCTACCGCAGCCACACATACACATAAGGCTGGCTTCTGTCTCGGCGTTAAAGAAACGTCACTGTTACTTCTCTTTCGATTATAAATCTAAATCTAATTATTAGAATATGATGTGATGTATACTATCCCTTCCCATACTTAATTTTATTTTCCCATCCCCTAAGTTTAATTCTGAGTCTTGTACAACATTCAGAAACCGAGGGAATGTTTCGCTGGCACCAACCATCCAAGGGCATCAATCTATCGCAATCATCTACGTATCTTATTCATCATCTTTAAGTCAAGGAGGTAGATAGATGGATGAAGAGGAGGCTCAGAATGACCAGGACTAGTTAGGGACCAAGGTTAAACCTAATCCAGTCCACCCCCATCTCTTAGCGTTGCAGCAACCAGGCTAAAGTTGCACGAGGGATGCGCGATGGGTAACAGAATACATCAGAAGCCCGAACGGCTCGGACGCCAGGGATTTCCGAAGGGAGAAAATCAATCTAGTCTAGTCAAGACAAGTCGAGACGAGACGAGACGCAGTCAAAGGGTTCCGACCTGACCTGACTTGGTGGGTGGAGTGAGTGAGGGGTGAGGGGTGAGGGGAAAGGGAAAAAATGCATCCATCTCGTATAGGCTGAAAGCCCATCTTCCCCCCCCCCTTCCCCCTCACCTCACCTGCCAGAGGACTACATTGGTTAGGAAATAGGGGGGTGGAAGTCGTCATGCATGAGTGACACCAGGAGGCTCAAGAGGAAATAGATTAATGCATTGGCAGGCAGTAGTGTAGTATGCAGATACGGAGTCGGACAAGCTGAATGAACATCGGTGAAATCCGATCCCTTTTTTCTCTAAGGTTTTTTTTTTTTTTTTCTCGTACAGTAATTTAAAATCAATATTTAAGAGGAAGAGGAAGATGGGAAAGCCTCGTTGATTGGTGGTAAGGCTGGCTGGATGCCTTGTCTGTAAAGAGCTGGATGGGGGCCTCATGACTCACGCACACAATAACCACTAAATCCTTCAGGCAAAGTACGAATTGTGATGGTCTAACTAGACTACTTACTACTCCATACAGATTCGTTATCAGTTGGACGCCTAATTCGCAGTAAGTTAAAGAATCTATTAAAGTTCTCATCGTATATTTTATTACTACACTATACTATCTCATTGTTAACGCCACGGAGGGGGTCGCGTTACAAATACGATGATAGCTACAATACTGAGTGAATATATTATTATGCATCGGACGGACAGAACATCTCTCCGACTCCGATCGGAGGGAGTCAGGTCATCACTTTAATTTCCCTCTTTTGTTTTTTCGATTTACCCGTTCAGGGTCTGAAGATTACGCTCGACCGGTCGGTCGGTCGGTCGGCCGGACCGGATGAATACTCCCTAAACTAGATAGTAGGTAGTTTCTAGTGAGATTAGTTGATGAGATGGTGCCATTCTAGACTCCTGCTTATTATTATTGTTATTATCCTAATCGTTCTGTGGGACTAGAGAAATACCACGTGTGATCCTGCGATCCTTTCGTTCTGCTATCTTTGGTAGGTGCCTAGCCGTTTACATCATGTCTCATAGTAATTTATTTGAGATTAAGTAATGTGTACCATGCGATAGCTTGAACAGGAAATGGCTAGCGATAGTAGATGTTGGATGCCTATTGTGTTATTGTGCTGGGGGCAAGAGATGGTTCTTTCACATGTACGATCATACTTGCTAGCTACTAGATTGATAGTACTCAGGCAGTAGAAAGTTGTAGTAGTCATTCTAGGCAATAATGTTCCTGATAATAGACGCCTACTACTACAGCTACTACTGACCCAGGTATATAGTAGGATTGTGATGGTGGAGAACATATATTCCATACTCTTATATATACTATACAATACTATATACTACTACTCCGTATATTCCATAGCACTACACACTAGCTGCATCGGAGATGCTAGGGTAGTATTCTATCATCCATAAGTATACCTTTTTCCTGAATAGGAAGTACCTATCATAGACAAAGAAAAACTATTATCTGGCTGCAGGATGTTTGACAGAATGCCGAGTTATGCATGTGCTTATCTATGGTGTGGGTTAGTGGCCGAGTCAGATATGAGTTTGTCATCTTCTCTATATACTTACTAAATTAGAGGGTTTGATTACAATCACGATCGAGTGTGATGCCTGATCTTGTTATGATGCTATTCCTGTGTCTCATGCTAGGCAACGATGAATTAAATAGATGTAGCCTGATAGTATATTGAATATAGCTGCCTATTCTGGTGGAATGGGAAGTAGGCATGTGCATACGTATGATATACGTGTATTCGGTCTCTAGAATGTGGCCGCCTGATGCACATGAACTGTATGATAATTATTTACGTGATAGCTGATTCCGTATGTGTCTTCTGGGTAGGTAATGGAGGGGATAGGAGTCACAGGCTTCGTGGTTTGCTACTGATGGACCAGACCGAGTATCTTTGGGGAAACCACCGGCGGAAGAATAGTATATGTTCTTACGAGCCACGATGTTGGTCGCGGTCAAGCTGCATGTTCAGTCTACATCATGAACTCTACTGCACCTCATCATCAATTCATACAATCATACTTTATCCATGATTCTCCTCTGTACTGTATTCGAACGTGAATCTGTACGCCAAAGACGAAAAAACTCGACTCAACGACGCCTCGATGCAGGTCAACAGGATGAGCTGAAACGAACAGTGCGAACTCAAGCGAACAAGGTCAATAGACAAGCGTGGTAGAAGTAGTGTATCGGTTTTGCGGGAGATAGTGATGGCCACGAGTAAGAGATAGTGCGGTAGGAAGATAGAGGGTGATGATTCCAAATATTTCACTAGATGGAGCACAGACAGGCAATGGAAGAGATGAAGAGCATAAGAATATATAAAATGAAAAAAGAACTGAAAGGATTAAGAAAGATGCAAAACATCCCTCAAATAGCTATCCCAACAGAAAAAGCACAAAGACAATGGCGACCCGTTATCCGGCCTCCGCTCCGTTGATGCTCATCTGGTTAGGATTGTATCGCCGTCTGCGCATGGGCGCCTTTTTCCTTTTCGCAATGGCGGCACTCTGTGCGCTGCCGGGGGCGCTCCCCATTTCCGTGTCCCCATCATTATCAGCATTATCAGCCTCCCCGTGCAGCGCCTCGTACCGTGCCAGCTCATCCAATTCCCGAACATCAAGAGGCTTCATCCGCAGCCACTTCATGCGCGGTCCTGAGCGTGAGCGTTCCGACACGCGGAAGCCATAGATTCGAGATTCGTAGATCCGACCCGGTCCAAGACCCGGGCTGAAATTGACGGTACGCACGCCGTTGATCTCAACAGGCTGGTTGGGAGGGGGCACATCCGGCACCACTTGGTTGTTGATCGAAGATGTCAAGGAGGAGGAGCGGGTCGGTGATAACGCGGCGAGGGAACTGTCCAGCCGGGGTCCGATATCGAGGTCTGGGAAGGTCATAAAGAACAGGCATCCAAAGGTAGTTCCGAAGAAAGCTCCGTCGACCGAGTGGAACCGACTGTTCGGGGGAGTGTAGAGATCCTGGCAACTAGGGCAGAACAATTTGACCGTCTCTTGGCCAGGCGTGTCGGAACGTCCGACGGGCAGAACCTTGCATCCGTTGCAATAGACTCGCGGGCAGACACCGAAATGTTGCATCTCATACTTTTCAAGCATCTGCTGGATACCGGGCCGTGAAGTGATGTAGCGTTGATGGATCAGTCCGTAAAGCAATTCAGCAGAGCTCTCGATGACGCTCAGATCACTCGCGACTCGTGCATGCCTCCGTTCTCCTGCCCTGCGGTATCCTGGCGGCTTCTCATCCCCTAGAATCTCGTCCTCATCCTCCTCTTCCTCCTCCTCCTCTTCTTCATCTTCCTCGTCCTCCTCGGGCTCCACGTCCAGGATCATTTCCAAGGCCTCCTTGTACATAGGCACCTGCGATTGCAGCCCTGTCAAGTTGAAGTCATCTTCGATAAAGTCCTCCGACACTTCCGCAAAGAACTCATGACCCATCAGGGAGCAAAACGAGGAGATCCAGGACTCCGGGGCCCCTTCCGAAGACGACATGTCGAAGGAGTCGGACGCGGACGACGAGGGCGTCGATTCAGACAGTTGACTCAGATCCAGCCTGTCTAGGCCGTCGGCCAACGCCGAACCTATCTCTCTCGACACGTTGCCGAGCTAGGGGGAGAAACGACTGCGAAATATCTCGTGCGAGATGAAGCGCCGTTTAAACCTGCACCAGATGCAATGGGATCTGGTACGAGGTTCCGAAGTCGTGAGCCCTCCTGTGGCAGGAAGGCAAGAATTGGATGGATAAGGTATGATCGGACTGCAGATGACGTCCGCTGTAGGGCTAATAGAATGACAGAGTGGTGATGAATGTCGCGGTCATGACAGTGTGCGGGCGGGCGAGCGGGCGGGCAGATTGTTGTGCGATGAGGGTGTGTTAACGCGACTGAATTGGGTGGGGGTGACTCTTCAGCAAACGATGTCTCCCAGAATCACTGACGGCCACAAGGCATTTATAGAGACTGGCAAAGTTGACCCTTCCAGATGATAGTGGATAAGGATGGATCACAAATCTCCCTGGCTCTTTCTCTCTCTTCCTGAACCGATCGACGGAGGTTGTCGAGGGGCTTCCGAAATTAGGTTCGTGGGGCGGTCGGGAAAGGTGCTCAAACACGAAGAGGGAGCGATAGATAAGGCAGCTAGACGACGGCAGAGTGATGAGTCGGGGCCCAAAAGATAGACAACAGAAAGACCAGATGTCTTCAGATGCAGAGAAGGTGGGTGGCCACACCAACAACGATTCACAAGTGGAACATGTTTCTGGGATTGGCTTTGGAGGAGGTTGGCGACCGAAAGTCACCCGCCGCTGGCTTTCCCTCCCTCGGTCACGTGGCGATCGACCAGCCTCGACTCCCTTCAGTGTTTCTTCAACTTCTTTACATGGGACAGACATGGTTATACAGGATAACGACGCTTCATGCTACGATTTGAACAGTCGTGGCTACTGTAGATATAGCCTCATCTTTTAGAACAAATCTCGGATCACCCGGGACCATTCGCCTTCATCTCCAAGCACTCCCGAGAGCCCCTCCCCCGTGTTCTGGATTTCACCATCATGACCTACAAATCCATTGATTCCCTCGGCCGGTGTCCCGGAAGCCATAAAGTTCCCAAACCCGCCTACTGCCTCAAATAGATTCGTGAGCTCATGGCTCATCTGCAGCCCGTTGAGAGGGCTGTTGCCAAGCTCGCCGATCCCATTCATCGGGCCATACACCGACAAGTCTTCAATTTGGTGGCCTGCTAACCCAGCCATGGCCACCGCTGCACTCGAATGGGGATCATTAGAGTCAGACCCAAAGGGCCGCATAAGCACTCCCAGCCGTTCGCCGATCTTTCGAAGTCCTTTGATAGCCTTCCAGAGACGCTTCGACACGTAGGACTTTGTACTGAACCCGCTGATCAAGTTCAGCGCCATGTAGAACTCGTCCCGCACCTGTCGGTTGAACTCTGTCGGTGCATGGCAGACAGCAAGGAAGATGACCGCCAAAGCAGCCACGAGGAAGTAGTTGAAGGTGATCTGTTGGCTGCGGTAAATGTCGGATGTCTGATTGAGTCGAGTGAGCACGCGGATAGTGTCCTTTGCGACGTCCACCACCGTCTGAGCATGACCCTTATCCTCGGCAATACTTGCTGCGGAGTGCAGGACGGGCCGGTAGATGAGGATTCGGAGCTGATTCATGCGGAGATACAGTAGAACCCTTAGTCGCCTCAGGCCCCGGTTCGTCGACTCCATATGACCATTCTTTGGGGACTCGATGGGATAGAATTTCAGGGCATCCGGGACTTGCTTGTACCACTGCAGGATTTGGTAATCCAGATAACCTATCTCATCTCGACGTATGTCCGTTGCACCCTCAGAGCCCAGCCCGGAATACCAGATCTTTGAGCTAATGCGATTGTAGGATATCATCGATTTCAAATACGGCAATGAAGCATCCTAGGGGGCAATTAGCAGCCGACCAATAAAGACTTTATGAACGATGTAGCTCACAGGCTCCGGGAGGTTAGGGTCGATGTCTTCATCCTGAATGTTGAAAGGCAGCCCTGTCCCGAGACTCCACCGGCGATCCAGACTGTAGATTGTCCAAAAAGTCTTCACTACGGCTGGCCATTGTTCTTCATCCGGGAACATTTTGTTCAGGGCATCACGCCGATGCAGACCCATCTCAAGACACATGCGTGCGGCCAGGCCGATGATTCGATAAGCCATGGCATCGTCGTCCATGTGAAAATGGAAAGTTGCCTGTTGTTCAAATTGTTAGCGCAACCCAACTGTATAGAGTGATATACCTACAATCATGCCATATATCTGGATGGTCTTGATGTCGAGCGTATCCCAGAGTTTGGATTCAGCTATTGGCTTCACGCTCAGATACAGCCGCTGTCCGAGCTCGCTTTGGCCACCTCCCTCCACGATCAGTGTTATAGCAAGTATCATCTTCAATAGAACCGTGCTGTCATCAGTAAGACCATCAGCACCAGGCAACCCCCGTTGCGCAAACCCCGTGCGTATCGCTGATTCCATGAACGTGTATAGCAGGTTCACTTGCTGGGCGATATGGTCTATATCTACAAGCGGATACATGATACCAATCTCCTCTTCGTAGACACGACACAGACGCAGAGCTTCATCTCGCTTGATGGACCATATCGGATCCTTGGTGGGGTGCATCGTGAGAAACGACGGGCCCACATGGGGAGGAGAGCCAGCCGGAGTGACCTGGGCCGTGGTCAAATCGTCTGGTATGACTTCCTCTGGCGGAGCGATGCCCATATTCTGTAGACTAGACCTTGCGACATCGAAGTTAAAAGCAGAGCTGGTAGGCCCCTGGAACCGGGGATGCCTTATGCGTGGTTTGCTCAACGGGGCTTGCATAGGCGTGAACACCGACTGCGAGCCATCACGAGAGAAGGCATCGAAGTTTGGAGAGTCGATGGACGATCTTTGCGACCGAAGATCTTTAAGATTGGTAAAAAGACTATTTACCTGATCCTGCAATGTCTTGATTTGGTCTGTCATCGACCGGAATTCCCTGGTGGTGGAGTACGGGTTAGCTGAGGATCATGATAACATACTGCAGGGAACGAAGCTGGAAATAACGATCGACGTACTCGGAATCTTTAAAGTTATTATTGCAGCAATTTGGGGCATATCGACCTATGGAGATGGTAAGTCGCATTTGCCATGTGTATCACGGAGCTACAGCGATAAGCTGACTGACATTCGAGGTTAAGGTGTCCACAGCGTTGGCAGGGGACCTGGCCATTGCATTTGATCTTCCGCCTCTTGCATTCGTTACTAAACGGAAAATACAGAATTAATCAGCTAACAGATAAGAGAAAATATGCTAAGCCAGTGACAAGAGGGTTCAACATGGGTGGATGGCAGCAAGCCGGATCATACCACGCGATGGAGATGTAGCGATTCCGCTTGGAACGAGTATGAGTTCCGTTGGCCGGTTCCGCTTTCCTCTTCGCGGTATCAGCGTCCGGGGTGGCATTCTGGTCGCCAGAATCTGGCTGGGGTGGTGCCATATCAACCTGCGGCGACTCCGACGACATTTTGGATGGAAATCAAGTTGGGACGATTGGTTGTTGGCGCGAAAGAGAGCAGCGACCGGTGCGGAGGGATTCCTTTCGTTTGCTCGATGGCGCGCGGGGTTTCCGTTTCCCCAGATGGCCGGACCGGGAAGGGATCGCCGATGAGGAGATTCACGTCCGGCGCTTTTATTCTTATAAGCTAATGGAAAAGACTCCTGGCATAAAGTGGGTAGGTACAATGTAGCTGATCCTGATGATGGTCAAAATGACAGGTCGGTTGTTTGCCGTCTAATTTCCAATTGGGTTGTGAAGCTAAAAAGACCGAGCGAGGTCTGTCCATGGTTTATCTTCAGCACCAGCTGACATGGCATCCTTATCAGCCCTTGCTTGTACTGTTGACAAATCCACTAGGTATGGCTTTCCCTGATAAACTATAGGTAAACATATCCTAAGAGATCTAGTAGAAGATGAAGTCACCAGTAAATTGAAATGAGGCATAGCGAAGGATAGGATGAAGAGCTACCAAGGTCGTTAAGCTGACCGGCAACTGGTCAATCCCAGTCGGGGCGGAAATTCCCCGATCTGCACCTTGTCAAACCGCACGTGCAGCAGCAATCCAAGCGTCACTGAACAGTGGATACGGAGCTTTCCCAACCCACTTCTCTGGACGACTGAACACTTGGTCTTCTGAATGAAGCTCCAACAATGTCTGCCCAACAATAACCTCAGGGTTTGGCAGCGTCTGTCGTCCGTCACCCTCCGGTTCTCTTCAAACCAACCACGCCAACAACGCTGCTTTACCTCCACGACGTCCCGTCCATATCGCCCCCTAGATACCCTCAACGATGTCGACATAGACGCCTTCCGCAAGACCTACTTCACTCCGGAACGTCCTACAATCCTCCCTCGGGGTTTCTTTCGCGATTTACCTGCCTTTGAGCGTTGGTTCCAGCCCGCTCCGACCGACCCCAATGTGTTTCAGTTGAACACAACATACCTCGCCCAACATGGGGCCGACGCCTTCGTTCCGCTGGAACTCACACAACCATCCTCCGACGGTTTCGGCGAGACAGGAGCGGAAGGTCTCACCTTTCAACAATTTCATGCGCCGCTGAGTCTGTTCCTTGACTGGATTCGTACAGCAGAGACGCTCGAGACACAGTCCGCGCGGTTGTATCTAGCGCAATGCCAGCTCCTAGATCTACCGCAGGTACTCCGTGATGACTTTCCAACACCCGAATTAGTAGCGCAGGCTGGAAAAGGTGACGTTTACGACACTAACGTTTGGATCGGACACCCGCCCACGTACACGCCTCTCCATCGGGACCCGAATCCCAATCTTTTCGTTCAGCTCGCGGGACAAAAGGTAGTGAGGCTATTATCGCCTGGCGATGGACAGAAGGTATTTGGGGCCGTGAGACGGCAGCTTGGACGGAGCGCCGGTCGCGAGGCGGCTGCGATTCGAGGAGACGAAATGATGCAGGGTCAAGAAAGGACACTATTGGAGCAGGCTGTCTGGGATGAGGTGAAAGCTGTGCCGGGGCTAGACGGATATGAAGCACATCTCGAAGCGGGGGACGGTATGTTCATTCCCCGGGGATGGTGGCATAGTATCAAGGGCGTAGGGACAGGGGTGACAGCATCGGTAAGTTGGATTAAGTTGCGCCTATGACTCTATCTTACTTATCTGATTGACAGGTGAACTGGTGGTTCCGCTGATCCTCAGCGTGTGATGGATACCCAAGTAGACTTGTAGATATGGTAATGCTCGGAGCCAGGATATACAAGCTATACTAAGACAACAAGACAAAAAGAAAAGTAAAATAAATCCCCAGTATAAGCCCAATAATATGCATTTAAACACAACCCAATCTACATAATCCAATAAATACAACCATATGGGCAATCCGAACCCCCAAGACCATAGAACAAACCCAACGTTCTAGAATCCTCTTTTCGACTCCGCCCGCCTTCACTCCACATCTCAAGATTTCGCCAACGACATCATCACCCTTCCTCTCAATTTCTCTTAATCAACCAAACCTCCCTCACACCACCACAACCAACCCACCAACACGAAAAGAAAAAGAAAAAGAATATAATGTACATGTCCTCCACCCTCACCCGCGCCTCACTCATCAACCTCCTCCTCACGACGACCGCCCGCATCGCACCCGCAACCGCAACACTCACAACCACAACCACAACAACAACAACAAGCACCTACCACACACCGCGCCACTTCCTCCACCAAGCAGCCCTTCCTCTCCACCCTCACTGCTCAGCAATCCACCTCTACAACAACACCATTACCAATAATAATAAACACCAAAACCAGCAAAGCACCCACTACTCCACAATGAGCACATCCAACGAGCAACAACAACAAACCCAGAACCAAAACCAAGAACAAAAAGAACAAAGAGATGAGGGAAACAAGCCCATCCTTGCTCTCCCAGACGCCGAATCAGCCACGAAACTCGACGTTAGTGGGGACGGATCAGCAGTTGCATTGGATCACTTGGGTCCTGTGGTGGTGAATCAGGATGGAACATTATCGCGCATCTCGAATTGGGAGGCTATGACGGAGATTGAGAAGAAGAATACGTTGAGGGTGTTGGGGAAGAGGAATAAGATGCGGTTGGAGGCGTTGAAGAGGGAGAGGGGGGAGGGGAATTAATCGGGATCAAGTTCGTGTCGGTCGTTGATTGTAGTGGTGGGTGGTAGATGATAGATGGTAGAAGGTGGAGATTGAAGATTGGGGGATGTATTATATTATGTTGGAAGGGGGAGAGATACACTTGTGTCTTGTATGATATTTGATCGGTTCGGATTACGCTGTAGCGATTTCATTGTTTATCTTCAAAGCTTTTTCTGGTATCATCTGCTATGGAAAGAAACGAGAACTGAACTTCTATCCAAATAGCCTCCCACGTTTTTCTCTATACGTTGTCTCATGATGCTAGTCTAACCGAAAACCATATCGTTGAATCTCGTGAAAGCGTTACTGTGTGCGATCGTTAGCTTTCTGGCCTCCGTCAGTATATCAGGTAGACCTACCTCGATGGTTCCTCAACATAATTCCTTGTATAAACTTCCACTTCTTCTACTCCAGTGACGATATCAACTTCCTTAGGACTCAGAAACTTTGTACGATGCCAGAGTTTCCATCCCACATAGATAACAGGAAACACCCCGATCATAGTATACGAGAAGAAGAAAGTCGGAATGTCCCAGTTGCCGGGTAGGAAGACCGTGTAGCCGCCCACGAAAGTCATGACGAAAGTCGACACCAGGGCAATGTACGCGACATAGGGCTGGCCTCGGCTCTGATAGGGGAGGGATGCGCGAGGGACACCCTGTGCCATGAGGGCTTTTCTGAACCGGGTGTAGGTGAAGGTAATGACGGTAAAGTTGATCAATTGGGATGCAGTGACCTGGTTTGTGTTTTTTATAAGTATCTGCAGACGAAGTAGGTGACAGGCGACTTACAAGATTAACAAACCAATTCAGCACGACAGCTGAACCGTTAGAGACCTGAAGGAAGGACAACAGCGCAAACACGAACACTATCAAGACGCAGTATATCGGCACACCGGATTTTGTACATTTCGTGAGAAGGCGCGGAGCCTTGCCATCCAGAGCAAGGCCGTACAGACTTCTGCTGGCGCAGTAGACGTAACTATTTCCGGCACTGAAAGCAGCGAGGAGGACCATGGCATTGACGATGTGTGGCAGGATGGGGATTTTCAGCCGATCCATGGCGACAACATACGGTGATGCAGCAGCACCAGGCAGGTCTTGCTCATATGCAGCAGCCAGGTCGGGATCATTGTAGGGAACCAAGATACCGATGCAAAGCACACCAAGAACGAAAAAGGTGGTGAGTCGATAGAAGATGCCATTGTACGCTTTGGGCAGGATTTTGCGGGGGTTGACTGCTTCGCCGGCAGCCATAGAGACGTAGTCTGGACCGGCAATCGTGAAACTGGCTTGGATGAGGCAAGCAAGGAACCCGAGCCATCGGCCTAGATCTCCAGTCTTGTAGTATTCGGCAAAAGCCCCGGGGTTCTTCCAGTAGCGGAATCCAAAGCGATCGCCAAGAGGGTTGCCTCCGAGCATCACAATAAATGTGAAGAAGATCAGGCCCACACTAAGCAAGACCTTGCTCAGGGAAAGCCAGAATTCGGCTTCGCCATACCACTTCACTGCAAAGATATTGAGTAGCCTGATACTTGTTAGCTTGCACTGTTTCAAGTTGCACAGGAAGTATGCTTTAATCCAGAGCATAACATACGCGAAGAGCACAAGCACAATTACAATAATCGCAGCGACAGGGACTGCATCGCTCCAGTAAGTGATGATCAAGTTACACGCTGTAACTTCAAATGGCACCATCGCGGCTTGAAAGATGAAGAAGTTGTAACCGGCAGCAACGCCAAAGGCCTCGTCAACATATCGAGTTGCAAAGCGGATAAAGGGCGAGGAGATGGGCAAATATGTGACCATCTCAGCCAGGCCTAACATAGATCTTATCTTAGTGGAAAGCTACTTCAAAGGGAACAAATCCGCGGGCCAAATTGTTGCGACGGAATCAGAGAGGCCATTGGGAAATCGGCGCTTTGGGACATGCAGACAAATCGCACAGGTCGCAAATGGCAGCTTTGGTGTCGCTAGCGGCATGAAGAGAATTGGGAGGGCTTCAAGATCGCAGGGTAAGGGAATCCGTACAAACAGTTATACATAGAATGACAGCGGACCTATATCAACGAGGTATAAGATTCCATGTATTTAGCAGCAATATGCATAAGGTAAGGCCAGACAATCCCGGAATTCTGCTGTCTCTAGGGTGAAGCACACATCAGGAGCAAGGAAGCAGTTGACACTGCTTGGTCTACGCATAGTGCATGGGGTATCTGATGTTCACCAACATCCTTGTAGCTGCTGATGATTGGGCGAAAGCAGGTTCTTGTACTCCAGTTTGTGCTTCCGACTCAAGAAACTTACCTATGAACGAGACCCTTCGAGACAGCTCACAAGATGAGAATTGCAACACCGTGAGGGAACAACAAAAGACAATGGAAGAACACGGTAGGAGTAGGACTAACCAGATAATAAATGCGATGAAGAGACTAGCAGGGCCACCTTCTATCAGTGCCTTACCAATCTGGACGTACAACACGGTCCCGACTGTGCCACCGATACCAATGAGCTGGATATGTCTGGGCTTCAGCTTGCGATGCGTATGGTCGTAGGCAAGCTTCTTGGAATCATCTTCGAGTACTTCTTCACTGTCACGAACGACAGCATCCTTCTCAGAGCGGTCCATGGCGGCTTCTTTACGCTCTTCGCCTAGTCCATGAGGGCTGATTGTGGGGGAATGCCTCCCGGTGTGTATGGCAGATGTAAAAGCCATACTGTGGCTAAAATTCACCGAGCCCCAGCAGTGGACAAGTTAAGTAGAGAAAAGCAAATCCAAAGACATTAGACGAAATATGAGGCACGAAGATAAGAGGAAAGGAAGTGAGTTACTTTTGTAGAAAAAGAAAAAGAGAAGGCGGGCGAAGGGAAACCGCGAAGAAAAATGGTGGGCTAGCTAGACCGATCAAGAACGGTTCTCGCCATGCGGATATCCCTCATCATGGGGCATTATTCGGCAGAAGACATTTTAGTCAATTGTGGTCTAGGAATAAATCGTGCAAAGGGAATCAAGGAGACAAATCACAGTACGGAAGCCGACTTTACGGCTTCGGCGACTCCATTGGGAGACCCCACAATGGCGGGCAGATACAGTTGTGCGTGGCGTTTGAGCAAAACATGGTGCTCGCTTTAACCTTGTCCTTACTTGCTATTTCTACCCTACTTGATTGTATTAATCCACGCTAATAACTACACTGCACTCTCCTATTGACTCGAGTCCATAATGATTGATAAGAAAGCCGAAATACTAGCCGCACAATCTACGCTCGTGTGCTAAGTCACGCTGTATACGAACTTACTTATCTGACCCTACATAACCTTCTGCGTCAGGTATTATCTTGTAGATACAACACAGACAGATCGACCATCTAGGTGTCCAATCATCTCGAAATACGGTTTTCGTGTAACCCGTGATCGGTGCCACTATTTGCCGTTGCATGAAAGCGATGGGTTTCCGTGATTACAGAGTAAAAGTGCCAGGCAGTTACATCTGCAAGGCAGATGGCAGAACCCAAGACAATTGTATGCCAGAAAGGCATACCCCCGGATTTTCAGGTCTTCAAACCTGACAGAGAAGGCGAAGTCGATGATAAGAGCCATCTAGGCTAAGACCAAATGTGGTAAAGCACATTAGTTGCGGCACCTCCGGATTGGTTCGCATGTATCAATGACTGCAGCCAGTCGCAGATAGTCAATAGCTGGTTGCAGCTGAGTAGTATACTACCGAGCCAAATGGCACGCACGGCACATAAATGCCACGGGCAGCAAGGGACCCAAGTATGAGGGGCAGAGGGAAAAGTTGAAGTTAAACCTCGGCCGGGGATGTCCCGCCCTAACTGTTTTGGGGAATTGCCGTGGCATTCAGCCGGGGAGTCACATGAGTGACTCCAGACTGTCAGTTGACAAGTCTGGTATGGACATTGGTGGCAGAAAGGCTTTTGTGAGACTGCAGGTTAAACAAGTTCTTAAAACTGTGCATTGCAGACCTTAAGACACTTTAACTTAGCTGCAACTAACCAACGAGGTAGTAGCAGCTAGGGCACCATAGGTCTGGCGCGATCTAGGCCGTACATGATACTAATCCCAGACTGACTAGAATGACAAGACTAAGTAACCCTTGTTCCAGCAAGCGCCCCTGCAATCGCCCTTGATATAGCAACTGTAGCCATGTGAGTCTCTGTTCCTGTCTTCCCTGTGGCGACTTGTATCGGTGTGATTTCAGGACCCAAAACGGAAGAACGGATTTTGACGGACATGATGCTGATTCCAGGCAATTTCCCATTCATTTCCGAACCTCGTAGTTTCAACAAATATGGAAAGCTGATCACGCCATGACGCCAGGTAAGAAAGAACACTTGATAAAAGCAAACGTCACAGTCGATTCATGCGAGGATATCTTGTGTCATTGATCATGTTCGCATCTCAGATTGGGAATTTTTATCCAGAACCTTCGTACCATCTCCATGTTGAGTAGGCGGTGCCTTCCCTAGCCAGGCTGGAGGGAAAAAGCCATCGTTGTCTTCGTAGTGGAGGTAATGCGACAGATCGGACTCCTCCGAGATCGATCTGCGGTCTCTTTCTGCATCATTGCCATGAGAGTCCCGAGCAAGGGATGGGGTCTGGATGGTTCTCGGCTGACTACTTTGCTGTGAGGACATTTTGTGCGCTATCTGGAAGTATCTCGTGATAAATGGGATGACAAGGAGAATCCGAATGGATGGTCCAGTTCTGTATACACAAGATACAACGGTTTGCAACACATATAGATAATGGATGTCGCGTGTGATGCTTTTCTTATACGATAGATACAGTTGGCCATCAGGCATCTTTGACGTCAGAACTAGTGGTGCCAATCACGGGGCTTCCAGAGTAGGAAATTCTCTACAGATGCGGAAAGGGGGCTCAGTCGCCAACCAAACTCTTGCGATCACGTTTCTTACAGATCGCTGACTTCCTGCATGCACAATTCAGAGCAACCACTGAATCTGGCCCTGGACAGTAGGCGAGTCTTAAATCTACCTATATTCAGGGACAGTGGATACTCCAGAAGATATCAAGGAGCCGAAGTCTCAAGAGCCAATGAAACTAATTGTAAAGGACACTTACTACTCATCCGAGAAGACGAGATGGGGACTGACGATAACATCACCGAGCCGCGGACGGTAGCTGCCAAACCTCGACCCACGGTTTCGCCGCTCCGAGCTCTCCCCGCCTGCCCCGCGCCTGTTTAACCGGCAACGAACCTCAGTCTTTCCACAGCGCCTGCTGCTAAACAACAGCTTCCCAGCGAGAAACCCAAAGAATACAAATACCTGCACAATCAAAGATCGTCACAATGGTCGAGCACGAGCCTGAGCCGAAGCGTTTCTCTCCCAAGATTCCTGTCCAGCTTGATCCCCCAAAATATGATCCCATAACTGTTGAGGAGCTGTCCAAATGCGATGGTGAGTTTTCGGCACTACACCTCCAAGGGTTTGTTTAACCTTTTAGAACTTAATATACTAACAATCTACAATTTCTAGGTACCGATCCTAACCGTCCCACCTTGGTTGCGATCAAGGGAATCGTTTTCGATGTGACTCGGAATCAGGCATACAGCCCTAGTGGACAGTACCACGGTAAGTTATTCTACCTTGAATACATTGCCTATACCTATGCCTCGTGATTGTGAACGGGTATACTGACGTATATTTACCATTACCAGTCTTTGCTGGGAAGGACCCCTCCCGCGCCCTCGCCTCTTCATCGCTCAAAGCCGAGGATTGCAAGCCCGATTGGTATGACCTGGAGGACAAGGAGAAGACAGTCCTGGATGAATGGTTCACATTCTTCAGCAAACGCTACAACATCGTGGGAAAGGTGCAGGATGCTACGAACTACTAAAGGAGATGGTTAGCAGCGATGTTTGGAGATAATCAACCTTTCTCTAATGCAAGAATTATACCCGTGGACTCTACTTTTACGCGAGCTACTCCAATGCAGATGCGCTTAACAGTGCACCGCCAGAATCCGAGAAATGAGCTTGTTGACAGATATCATTAGCTATTTACTCCATATATAACCCGCATTGACTTTTATCTATGTACCCGGCCTTAAGCCTTTCCCTTCCGAGATCTTCGCTGCATCCGCTTCTTCGCGATAATACGATTCCGCTTTGCAAGCTTATTCTGTTCCTCATCATCTTCCTCATTAGCGCCCTTGTCATTGTTGTCAGAGCGCTTTCTCTTCTTCCCATTGAAACCTCCCTTGTTATTCTTGCCCTCGTCCTTATCAGCCGAACCTTCACCATCTTGCTTGCCCTTCTTGAAGGTACGTGCCTTAGCCTGCTGTTCCTGCCGGCGCTTGACAACCTGGGCGTTCTCAATGGCGAACTCGACGATCAGACGCTTCTTCTTTTCCTTGTTGTCCTCCGAGCCAGTGGCAGGTGCTTCAACAGCGTGGCCATTGAGCCATCTGAGAGCCATGAGAGCATGGCGGTGGGTATAGTATTCAACGAAACCGTAACCTCTGCTTCTTCCCGCAGCCTTTTCCTCGCCAACCTTGTGACCATCCCGAGTTTCGAAAACGATCTTCGCTTGTCTCACAACACCAACACCCTTCTTCTTCCGCAACTGCTCTGCCTCTCTCATGATGTCGGCCGCGCGGTTCAATTCATCCTTAGACAGAGGTTGCCGCAGGCCCTTCTTCGCATCCTCTGCAAATCCGGCGATCGCTTGACGAGCGAGCTGTTTCAAATCTTTTGTGGTGACGTGACGGGGGATATTACGGATCGACAAACGCGTCAAACTGAGATGGAGGGCCGGGTTCTTCTTGATGAAATTCTGTCGTTGCTTGTAGCTGTCTTCTCTCATCTTGATCTCCGATGGCGAAAGCTTCTTGTAAAGGGCGGAGTTCGTTGGGATGGTACCCTCAGAAAGCAGGTAGAGGCGGCGCTTGTCGGTATCGCGGACGAGTCGACGAGACACTCCCTCTTCCTCTAGCTGTGAAGCGCGAGATTTGCTCACTGCGCGGGCGACTTGTAGTACGCGACCCTCCAAAGTATACCGTCCGGTGGGGTCGGCGTTTTCGTTCTGTAGAATGGAATGCTTGTAGGCGGTAGAGGCTTTCTTCGACTTATCTTTCTCTGCGACAAGGGGATCTTGTTGTTTAGGGGCGTCGCGCACACAGGCTGCTGCATCATCGGGCTTCCAGAAGCAAGCAAATCCAGTACCGCGGGGACGCTCGGTTTCGTGGTCGACGACGATTCGGGCATAGCGAAGGGGACCGAATTGGGTGAAGTGTTCGTAGAGCATATCATCATCGCAGGTGAACGGAAGGTTCCTGATGAAGATGGTCGAAGCGTTCCTTTCGTCTTCCTTCTCTCCCTCATCCTCGTCCTCGTCCTCGTCCTCCTCGGCATCCTCATCCTCATCCTCATCAACGTCGCTATCGTCTTCCATGTCGTCGTCCTCGTCAGAATGGGCTTCTTCATCAATGCCAACTTCTGCTTCAATGGCATCCTCCATGTCTGCATCTTCTGACTCCTCCTTTACATCCTTTTCTTCTTCCTCGTTGTCCTTTTGTAGATCCTCCCAGACGTTCTTCTCGACAGCCCAATCGACAGCGAGTGTTCTTCCGTCCACCTCCTTTCCGTTCACTGCCTGCAAGGCCTTCTCGGCGTTCTTCTTTCCGCGCAAAACAACGAAACCGAAACCAGCCAACTGGCTTCCCTTCTTGGGAAGGGTAACATATTTGACCTTTCCGAAACTGCGGAAGAGAACCGCCAAGTCTTCGGGTTCCTTGATGCTCCACGGCAAGTTTCGAACAATCAGCTTAGGCTGAGCGGCCGCCCTCTGATCCTCTCTCTTCTTCTTCTGTTCAAGAGCTTCAGCAGAAGGCTTGCTCCTTCCAAGGTTCTCATCAACAACACGGTGACGCGGTTGGGCGTATTCAACCTTGATCTTCTTGCCCTCGAAAACAGAGCCATTGAACTCCTCCAGCGCGGCCTTTGCGTCTTCGAGATCCGCAAATGTCACGAAACCGTATCCCTTCGATTGTTTCGTCTCAGGGTCTGTGACAGCAACGGCATGCTTGATAACGTAGGATTGCGAGAAATATTCCGTCAGGCTCTCGGTCGTCGTGGAGGCGGGAAGCGATCGGATGAAAAGCTCTCTCCTGGGCTGGTTGGAAGCCGGTGTCTCCTGTGCTGGCTTCTCGGTTTGTATGTCCATGTTGGTATCAGGGGCAGCGCTGCCCTTGATCTCGCTGGCTTCGGGGGAACTCATCTTGGACTCGTTCCTCTCAGCCTTGATTGGTGTTTTTGAGTAACTTTTTTTTCTGTCGCAGAATCAGCGGCAGAAAAATCCCGATGCCGTTTTTTGACTTTTGGAGGCAAAAGCGGGTCTGCGGGCGGTGAGAGGGGATGGGTCTCCACCGTGCTCCATCTACTTTCATGATACATATCAGTCTAGATCTTTCCTCTTGCTGTTGTCTGCATTTCGATATCTTTGTCTGCTTTTATGCGTTCGATAACTATTGTTTGCAGACAGAAGACCTCCTTCACATATGCAGAACGAGGTTGGTGATACTCAATGGCATATGCCATACTGAACTAGATGGTGCTATGCTAACCTTGAGGGAAGTGTATGCTTTCCCAATGTTTAAATGACGGAGTCAGAGGCTCCATATAAGCAAGCCTTCATCCTCCTGCTTACTATCGCTAATCCTCTCCTCATGGCATTATCTAGAGGATGTACCCCAAAAGTCACATGATGTATCTACCACGTGACCTACATCAGCATCACCAATCGGAAACCCTTGTATGGCCCACCTACTGCTGCCAAGGACTGGTGTAAATCGAAGTGATATGACAACATCCAGGGTCCCGTTCGCTTATATTCTGCGAAACACTTGATGCAGTAGCTTTCTATCCCCTCCAAACCAATAGCGGATGATACCGAGGGCAAAGAAAGCAGCATGGACCCAGTAGCACGTTCCGAATCGGCTACGCCTCGAGCATCTGGTGCCTCGACACCGCAGCCATCATCTAAGGTCCAACAGCCTAAGCCACAAGCACTCCCCAGCAGGTCTGGCCCATCTGCCATCCTTGTGTCAACACGACAAAAAGGCAATCCGATATTGAATCATATCAAACTACTGCCATGGGAATATGCAGACATACCGGCCGATTATGTGGTCGGAAGCACTACCTGTGCTTTATTTCTTTCCTTGAAGTACCACCGCTTACATCCCGAATATATCTACTCGCGAATCCGTCTCATAGCAGGAAAATATCTGTTACGAATTATCCTGGTTATTGTGGATATTCCAAACCATGAGGAAAGCTTGAAGGAGCTTTCGAAGACATCCATCGTCAACAACATGACGCTGATCCTTTGCTGGTCTGCACCTGAAGCTGCACACTACCTTGAACTGTTCAAGTCTTCTGAAAACTCTCAACCCACTGCTATTCGCACGCAACAAGCCCAGTCATATAAAGAATCTCTTGTTGAGTTCGTCACGACACCCCGGAGCATTAATAAATCAGATGCAGCTAGCTTGATATCTACGTTCGGAAGCCTGCAGAACGCAGTCAACGCGCAACCTGAACAGATTAGTGCAGTACCTGGATGGGGAGAGAAGAAGGTCAAGCAGTGGTGTAGTACAGTAAGAGAAGGCTTTAGGGTCGAGTCGGCGAAGAGGAAAACTCGCGGAGGGATCGCTGGAAGTCATGCAACTGGCGGGGTTGAGGGCCAAGAAGACAAGCCTTTCAATCCTTCAGAAACAAATGAAGACACGGCCGCAGAAATAATCCTAGCAGATGCAGAGGATGGTCGCCTAGAAGCACGGAGACAAGTCGTCGAAGACCGTCGAATGCAGGAGTCGAGTCAGCAGGAGGGGATGAGTGAGGGCATCATGGCGGCTCTTGCTAAGTATCGAGAGGACGGTGGTTGATCCCTTATCAGGTGGACTCTTTTATAATACGGAGACTGGTATAATGAAGAAATATTGCCTTCCACCTACCAACAACTTGTTCCAGCCTGCAGTCCAGATGCCAAGTGGGAACTGGAGTTAATAATACAACTTCCCATTTACGTATTGGGCGTTATATTACTTTCTCGTATTCCGGAGAGTAAACAGTGGGATGGCACAAGTGCACGTGACTTGATGTGTATGGGGTGGGGTTTCTATGGCTTAATATTTTCCTGAGCCAACCATTAACTCTATCGCCAACTCGGTTAGAGTTACAATATAGGTAGGGCTGGTCAGCTTAGCGGGAAGTAGTAGAAGATGACAGAAGCTTAGCCAAGCTGCATCGGCCATTGGCGCACTAGACACCCATACCGTCAATAGTAGGCCACTAGGGCACTGATCGTGGATTACGTGTGTTCAGACCATCAAATCAGAAGGTCGCCAGAGCTAACCAACCTTACTTACTTTGTGATAATAGTAGGAATCAAATTACCCCGTGGGGAAGAGGGGATCCAGAATGAATTAAGGCAGGTGGAGTAGCAATGCTTGTTTCGTGGGTGCTTGGGCCCTTCCCAGTAGACACTGAGGATGGATACAATGTATTTCAAGCTTCTTTGGTAACAATGTTCCTATGTTCCTTCTCCGAAGTCCATGTTAACTTTGGAGATAGAGTAAAAACCATACTTTGAGTTGTGCCTTCTAGACTGTTTTGTTCCAGTGGTTACAGAGAGAAAGAGAGAGACAAAGTGAAAAGAAGCGGCGGTGACCCGACAGCTGAGTCAGCCGGGAGATCATCACGTGGGGGGCACGAGGGTGGGGGAAGCAAAGCCCAAAGGGGAAATCGGGCTGACGGCGAACATTGGAGTTTCGCCATTCTGTGTCAGTCCAACGACATTCTCTGCTATGCGCCATCTCTTGCGGCCACGGGCTTAGTTTCTGAAGCTTCTGCCCTATCGATTCTCATCGGGCTCCTCGGATAGCTCCACTGCCCAAAAAAAAAGAGCTGCAGCAAGTAGATACAGACAGACGTCGTGTCTGGTCTTCCCCACCCTTCGGCTCTTGCCCTCAGTCCCCAATTCCCGGGCCTGACCGGTACTACGCGTTTGCCGGGCC